TGCAGCCAATTAAGTGCTGAACCAATGGATGGAAAACTTCTCTCTCTGCCTCTCCTTCTCTCTGTGTAACTGACTTTCAAATAAATAAATAAATCTTTCTAAAAAATCTAATCAAGCTTTTTGTTGACATAGTAAATTTATCCTAAAATATATATAAAAAGGCAAAGACTCTAGAATAAATCAATCAATTTTGGAAAAAGAATAACATGTAAGGAATCAATCTCTCTGAGATGTTAAGATTATTAAACAGAAATCAAGATGGTGTAATACTGGTACAAGGAGAGATACACAGATCAATGGAAGAAAACAGAGGACCCAGAACAAGAGTCACATAAAAACACCCAATTGATCTATTAGTTATTGTATTTTAAAGATTTATTTTTTATTTTGAAAAAGTTACAGAGAGAGAGAGAGAGAGATCTACCACATGATGGTTCACTCCCCAGATGGCCAAAATGGCCAGTGCTGGGTCAGGACTAAGCCAGGAGCCAAGAGCTTCTTCCTGGTCTCCCATGTGAGTAGCAGGGGCCTAAGTACTTGGGCCATGCTCCACTGTCTTTCCAGGCCACTAGCAGGGAGCTGGATTGGAAGTGGAGTACCTGGGACACAAATTGTCACCTTACGGGATGTTGGTGCTGCAAGAGGTGGCTTTACTTGCTACACCACGGTGCTGGTTCTCCCAAACCGAACCTTTAAAAACTTTTTAAAAAATGGAATTTTTTTTAAAAAAAGATGTATTTATTTGAAAGGCAGAGCAACAGAGGCAAAGGGAGAAACAGAGACATACCATTCATCTGCTGGTTTACTCCCAAATGACGAAGGGGAGACTCCAATGTGGTCTTTCACATGTGTGGCATAGACCAAAGTACTTGGGCCATCATCTGCTGCCTTCCTGGGAGCGCTGAATTCTGGATCAGCACTGAGAACTGGCACTCTGATGTGTGATGGTGCTGCTGCAGGTGGCAGCTTAACCCACTGCTCCATAATCCCAGCCCTGCCCAAACTGATTTTTGATAAAGGTACAAAAGAAATTCAATGGAGAAAAGATAGTTTTTCAACAGTAAATGAAGCAAATGGTCACTGACAGTAGAATAAAATGAACTCTGTCTTAAACTACAGAGCTCATTGAAAAACAACTCAAAGAGACTAAAGAACTGAAGGTTAAAACACAAACCACAATCTTTTGGGGGAAAAAAACAAAGAAGAAAAACCTTGGGCATCTAGGGCTAAACAGAGTTTTTTAGGCTTTACATAAAAACTATAATCATGAAAATAGGTAAGCTAGATAACATCAAAAATAAAATCTTTTGCTCTACAAACTCTGTGTTAAGAAGACAACAAATTATAGACTGAGAGAAAATACTTGCAAACCATAAATCTGACAAAAGGTCTCATATCTAGGACCTAAAAAGAATCCTCAAAACTCAACAATATACGGTGGGTGTTGTGGCATAGCAGATTAAACTGACATGTGGGATGCTCTTCACATTCCAGCTGCTCTGCTTCCAATCCAGCTCCCTGGTAATGGGCCTGGGAAGCAGCCAACGATGGCCCAAGTGCTTTAGTTCCTGCCACCCATGTGGGACACCTGGATGGAGTTTGTGGCTCCTGGCCCAGTCCTGCCTTTTGCAGTTATTTGGTGAGTACATGGGAGATCTCTCTCTCTCTGCTTTTCAAGATTTTTTTTATTTCAAAATATCTGAAAAATTTTGAAAAAATTATTTGAGAGAGAAAGAGAGAGAGAGAAATATTTTCCATCTAGAGGGAGGGAGGGAGGGAGGGAGGGAGGTAAAGAGAAATATCTTCCATCTGCTGACTCACTCCCCAAATGGCCACAGTGACCAGGGTTGGGCCAGGCAGAAGCCAGGAGCTAAGAGCTTCTTTCAGGTCTCCCCTGTGAGTGCAGGTACCCAAGGACTTAGACCCTTTCTCTGCTTTTCAAACAAATAAATAAGTTTTGAAAAAGATTCAGCAATGGGGCAGATGCTGTGGTGCAGTGGGTAAAGCTGCTGCCTGCTGTGCCAGCATCCCATATGGATACCAGTTCTGAGTCCCAGCTACTCCACTTCTGATCAAGCCTGCTGTCAATGCTCCTGGAAAAGCAGTGGAAGATGGCCCAATAGCTTGGAACCCTGGCACCCAGGTGGGAGACATGGATAAAGCTCCTGGCTTCAACCTAACCCAGTTCCAGCAACTGCAGTCATTTGGGAAGTAATAGAAGATCTCTCTCTTTCTAACTCTGCATTTCAGATAAGTAAATAAATCTTAAAATAAAAAAAAAAAGATTATGGAAATTGGCACCATTTTATAAACAACTGGGATATGATAGGTGAGACAGGCAATAAAGGAACTTTTTTTTTATGTAGATTTATTTATTTAGTTGAAAGTCAAGAGTTACACAGAGAGAGAAGGAGAGGCAGAAAGAAAGAAGTCTTCCATCCACTGGTTTACTCCCCAATTGGCCACGATGGCTGGATCTGCACTGATCCGAAGTCAAGAGCTTCTTCTGGGTCTTCCCACACAAGTGCAGGGGCCCAAGGACTTGGGCCATCTTCTACTGCTTTCCCAGGCCATGGCAGGGAGCTGGATTGGAAGAGGAGCAGCCAGGACTTGAACCGGTGCCCATATGAGATGCCAGCACTGCAGACTGCAGGCTTTACTGCTATACCACATCTCCGTCCCCAAAAAAGGAACTTTTAAAAAAGATATCATTTTATTGACGGATTTAGAAAATTAGAATTGTAAAGGGAGAGAATTATGCCCCTAGGTTTTCTCACAACCCCCCAGCTTCCTTGTTGATAATGGAGATCAGAAGTGGAGGTGGGGTAAGAAGAGAAATAGAAAGTTGCTTATCTCGGGGGCCGGCGTTGCGGTATAGCAGGTTAAGCCTCCATCTGCAAGGCTGGCATCCCATATGGACGCTCCACTTCCAATGCAGCTCCCTGGTAGTGTGGCTGGAAAAGCAGCAGAGGATGGCCCAACTCCTCGGGCCCCTACACACATGTGGGGTACATGGATGAAGCTCTTGGCTCCTCGCTTCAGTCTGGCCCAGCTCTGGCCATTGCGGCCATTTGGGGAGTGAACCAGTGGGTGGAAGATCTCTCTCTCTCCCCTCTTTCTCTCTCTCTTTCTCTCCTCCACTCTCTGTGACTCTTTCAAATAAGTAAAAAATAAAAATAAAAAAGTTTCTTATCTCCAGAATTCCTTTTCTCTTTAGCCCCCTGCACCAACAGCTCCTGACTCCTTGCACAGGGTCAGAGGGGTATGTAACACTGTTGGAGGAGGGTGGGTGCCTTGATACGCCTTAGGAAGGCGTGGCATAGGGCTATGCTGGAGAAGTGGAAGGAAAGGGAAAGGTCTTTTGTGGCAATGAGCCCAAAGGATGGATGGAGAATAGGGCTACAGACACAGACACCGTGCCACGCACTGCTGAGCTTACTTGAAGGTTCCAGATTAGGGCCATAGCGTCGGGTTACACATTATAGCTGTCTTCCACAGCCTTACAGATCACGTGCACTTCCTTCTGCCCGGCTGGCACAGGGGCTTGTAGCCACCATCGATGCCAGCCAGGTCCAAGCCTTCCTGGGGCATTGTTCCTCTCCATTGTGCTCAGCTGCCTGCCAGGTTAGGCCCCCATCCAGAGACACATCCTGTCAGATCACAGCCCTGCCATGGCCACTCCACCCAGAGCCGGCGGTTCCGTCTCCTGACTCCGCAGTCTCCTCAGCCTAGGGCTCTGTGCCCCAGTCCACGGATGCAGAGAAGCCTTTTCAATCCCACTGCTGCCAAAGGCTCTAACTTTCCTCTGGCTCCACACTCGCTCTGCCCAGCCATTTGATATGGCAGACACCCACCACACAAGAAACCACCACCTGTTCAGGGAAGCCAGGTCAGAGGCAGGGGCTGCCTATTCATCTCATGTGCCAACAGGACCTCAGCTTCAGGGCCCATGGCCCCGGCCAGAGGGACAGATGCTCCACACGCAGTCCCAGTGGGATCTGCAATAAAGGATTTAAATGAAATGATAGGATACTCAGCATATTTTGAAAATTCCTATCTTGATATAATTTTGTTTGTATAAAGACAAAGCTACATCAATAGTTTTTCTATTAAAGTATTTTTCCCAGGTAAGCCTCACTATCACATGCCCAGATTAATTTTAGCTTGCCATATTTATCTAAAACGGCCCTCAAATGTGTATTACAATACCTAAACCCGCTGATGGGCTCTGACTTAACTGAGTTTCAAGAAGATGTCAAGGAGGCAAACCTAGGATGAGGAGTCATTTCACACAATGATTCTGGATGAAAATAACCACAGAGACACAGGTTGGCTGGTGGAAAGGCATCGCATGGTTGGGCACAGTTACCAAGCACGGCCTATCCTAGAGGGCTTTCACCAGGCTTCGCTTTGCCAGAACAGGTCTATTCCATTCATCAATAACTAGATCTAAGTACTACCCTTCCTTGATTCTAACCTGTGCTTTTTATTTCTATTACTAGTCATGTTAACGATTTATAACCAGTCACCTCCCTTCTCTCCTCCCAATCGAAAGCTGCTATTAAATAGCCTACTTCGCAACTGGGAAAATAAATGCACTAATAGCAACTGGAGACTATACCTCCAGGGTCATAGCTTCCTGCTCCGCAGCATAAAGCCTCTCTTGCACGGTGCTTTTTCGGGTAGTATCCCAGAGTTCTCCAAAGTCTCTGGGCGTAATGGGGAGAAACTGGGCTAGGCACTCGGAGCCTGTTAAGGGCTTGTCCGAAGTCAACGAACTCACAAACCACGCAGAACCGGATCTTCCTGCCCCCAACCACAAGCAGCACTGAGAGCGGCTCACGGTCTGAGGTGTGCCCCGCCAGACCTACCCCCTGGGAAGAGCAGACAGCGGCACAGCGACCCAGTGAACGGCTTCTGGCCTCACACCGTCTAAGTCCCCAAGCTCTGCTCCCACATTTCCCTGCCCCAACCACCCGCCTCTGACTGTGGTCGCTTACGGGTGGTTCGCATCCACTGGAGAAGCGCGGGGAGGTCAGCGGGAGCCACAGTACCGAGGAGCTGAAGTATAGCTCGCCGAGCTGTAGCAAATTCCATGTTGCAGCAAGGGTAGCAGGAGCTGATTAGTACTGCGCACGCGCAGGCAGAGCAGGGCCCGACCCCAGGCTCCACCCCTCGAGGAATCCACCTGTCGCGGCGGCGAAGGCCCTAAGCCCCGCCCCTTGGCGAACTTCTCACGTGCGTCTCTCTACGAGCCAGTTAGCGGGTAGCGCTCAGAGTGGTCACTTTTTCTTAAGGTGGCTCCACGAGGCCTGCATCCCTAAAGAGTCTCCTGTTTCCCCGAACTCTGTCGACGCAGCTATTCAGCGGTGGAAAGCTAAGGCCAAAAGCCCGTTGAAGCAACAAACACCTCACCCAGGCGTTTTGGGAGACCCGCCGACGGAACGCGGTAGCGTGCCCCGGAAGCGGAAGTGCTTCCTCTCCCTGAAAGGCAGGACTTCGCCGAGTGGTGACGTTTCCTCATTGGGCGGAAGGTTCGGTGGCAGTCGTCGGTCTTCCAGCTGGTGGGAGTTGGCGTCGCGGTGCTGGGCGCTGGGCCCCTAGTTTATATAGTTCGGGAAGTCAGGTTGTGGGGCCGTTCCTGTGTGTGTACCCCTGGCTTTCCTGGTTTTCCTCGCACGGCGTGGGGCCTCTCGATAGACTCCCTGGCCCCTTAGGGCCACGGCGTTATTGGTGCCTTTTGCGGTAAGTGTCTGCCTTTTCCCGCCCCAGACTACGGAGGGGCAGCTAGGGGCAGCCTCAGCCCTGCTTAGGAGGCTAGAGGCCCTGGAGGGATTTTTGCCCCCCCCCTGGCCAGCGACTGTCATCTTTGAGACAGAGATGCTCTGGTCCGTCTTCATCTCGTGACTTCCAGCCGAAGTTTAGTTCAGAGATGCGCTGTGACCCTTTCAGGTTCTCTTCAGATGTACCCGAGCCAAGTCAGATGTAGGCAGGTTCAGGCCTGAGTGTTTTGTGTTTCTCTGCAAACATTTACATGTGGCTGCCTTCCCGAAAACCTTTCGACGGGTACCAGGTTATATTTTCTGTGTGTCTGTAGTGCTTCGTACGTCGTCCGGCATGTGGTAGACGTTCAGTAGCGGAATTAGGAATGTCAGGGGTGATTGAAGACATACTGACGTTGCTGTTCCGTTTGACATTGCTGTCTGTTTCTTGAAACTTAACTCTTTTGGCTTTATGGATGCCGAATTTACCTGATTCTTTAATATGCTTAACTCAACAAAGTATTTACTTGTTCTTAGCTGTAGGGATGCAGGAATAAATGACACAAATCCTGACACTGAGAAGCTAACGGTACAGTGAGAGAGGCGTGTAAATACACATTATATCAAGATCAGTCACGAGACACCCTGGTGACAGCCATGGAGCTGTAGGAACACAGATGAGGGTTACTGTACTTCTTAGGGAATTTGTGAACCTGAGCAAGTTGCTGTTTCAGTCTAGCCTGAGTTTCCTTGTCTACCAATAGGCTTAATATGAGGGTGAAAGGAGATACGAGAATGTATCTGGTAGAGTGTGTAATACATAGCAATGGTAGTGCCAGAAGAGAGGGAGGTATTTCCCTCACACCCCTTTCTCTCAGTGTTTTGCTATGGGCAATTAGTATTTTCTAACTGAATATGGAGCACTGTACAAAAGCCTCTTCAAAACAGATTATTCTGTTTATCTGGAAATTCTGGACTTGCCCCTGGAGCAAAGTAAGAAAGCCATAAATGGTATTTTTTCCCCTTGTAGTTGATTTGCTTTTGGGGAAGTGGAAGGGAATTAATTAGTAAAAGCTTTTATGCCTTTGGTTCTTTTCAGTCCTGGGTGCCTCTCTCCTTTGAGATGGCGCTTAGTCACTGCTGTAACCCAAATGACCTTTCCTCTACCTCCATGGCTTCCATGGTGTCATCTTTATATGCTGACCGTTACAAAACCTTTTTCTTTAGCATCCATCTCGTGAGTGACAGTATTGTGCTTTGTGAAAACTCCGTAGTTCCAAAACCAAATGTGCTATCTTCACCTTTTCCTCCCTTTTGCACTATCAACTAAAGCACATATACAAAAGCGTGTAACGGCAGTGAGTCTCAGTGTGTTTTGCGGGTTTTTTTTTTTTTTTTTTTTTTTTTGACAGGCAGAGTTAGACAGTGAGAAGAGACAGAGAGAAACGTCTTCCTTCTGTTGGTTCACCCCCCAAACGGCCTCCATGGCAGCCAGGAGCCAGGTGCTTCCTCGTGGTCTCCCATGCGGGTGCAGGGCCCAAGCACTTGGGCCATCCTCCACTGCACTCCCGGGCCACAGCAGAGAGCTGGACTGGAAGAGGAGCAACCGGGACAGAACCAGCGCCCCGACTGGGACTAGAACCCGGGGTGCCGGCGCTGCAGGCGGAGGATTAGCCAAGTGAGCCGAAGCGCCGGCCTGTTTTGAGTTTTCATCACTTGTTAGTTTGGGAATTATATGCATGTCGAATTTAGAAAAAGAAGACATCTGACTCAAGTAGTAGAGCACTGCAAATAACTAAGACCCTTGAACTTTTCTCTGTTTTCTGTGACTTTGAAACCAACATCCTTTTTGCCTCTGCTCATTCTGTGGCTCATGGCATCACATACTGGGGACATTGTAGTCATTTTACCTTGTGTTTCACTTTGCACAACCAGCTGATATTTAGGTCTTATAGATTCTGCCTCTTGGGTTAGCTCTTCATTCTATTCCATTTTGCCTTCTCTTTCTCTATTTCAAGCATACTGCATCTCTCAACTAGACTTTTGGAGTATGTAGTATTTTTAGTCTCCTCTCTGGAGGTTTTCTCCCTCATTTGCATGTGCTACATTGTCTAAAGATATTTTTACGGTGTAGAACAGTTTTCATTCCATTCTTTGCTTTGAGGAGTATGGTTTATTACTGCAGTGATTCTTAGCTTGGTTGTACATCAGTATAGCTAGTAATGTTTTTCAAAATATTTATGCCTTATTTGCTCTCCTAATCAAGAATTCAGATGAGGCTACTTCCCCTAAAACCTCTTTACCATCCCTGGAATTTCATTTTTTGCTGATCAGCATTATTTAAATATCAGTGGAATAATTGAGTGACTGAGTGAGTATATGTCTTATCCCTCCTATTCCATGTTTTCATTGCATGTTCTTTTTTTAAATGAATCTATTTTTTTAAAGATTTATTTACTTTTATTTGAAAGGCAGAGTTACAGAGAGGCAGAGACAGAGAGAGAGGTCTTCCATCTGAGGGTTTACTCCCAGATGCCGCAACAGCCGGATCTGTGTTGATCCAAAATCAGGAGCCAGGAGCTTCCCTTGGGTGTCCCACCCAGGTGTATGGGCCCAAGCACCTGGGCCATCCTCCACTGCTTTCCCTGGCCATAGCAGAGAGTTGGATCAGAAGTGGAGCAGCTACTGGCAGCCCTGTGGTACAGTAGGTTAATCCGCTGCCTCCATGACATCCTGTATGGGTGCCGGTTCCAGTCTTGGCCGCTCCTCTTCCGATCCAGCTCTCTGCTGTGACCTGGGAAAGCAGTAGATGATGGCCCAGGTGCTTAGGCCCCTGCACCCATGTGGGAAACCTGGAAGAAATTCCTGGCTCTTGGCTTTGGATAGGCTCAGCTCTGACCGTTGCTGCCATCTAGGGAGTGAATCAGTGGAAGGAATACTTTCTCTCTTTCTCTTTCTCTGCCTCTGCCTCTCTCTAACTCTGCCTTTCAAATAAATAAATAAATCTTTAAAAAAAAACTAATAAAAAGCCAATGACTCTTCAAAAAATATTATTTGTCATTAATGAAAACATAGAAATTAAAAAAGGTGTAGGTAAGAAAATAAAAATTACTAGTTGTCATCATCCAGAGATAACATGTTTACAGAGTTGTGCAATCATTACCATAATCAATTTTTTTTAATTATTCATTTTCGTTTTAATTTTAAGACAGAGGAGGGAAGAGTGAGACAAAAGTTCTTTCATCCATTTGTTCATTCATCAAATACCCACAACAGCTGAGGCTGGGCAAGGCCAAAGCCAGGAGCCCAGGCCTCAGTCCAGGTCTCTCATGTGGGTGGCAGGGACCCAAGTACTTGAGCTATAACCTGCTACCTCCCAGGATGTGCATGAGCAGAAAGTTGGAATAAGAAGTGGAGCCAGGACTTGAACCTCAGCACACTGATACGGAATGTGGGTATCCCAAGTGGCATCTTAACCATTGTGCCAACCACCTGTCTTATATAATCGATTTTAGAACATTTTCATCATTCCACAAAGAAACCCATACCCCTTAGCAGTCACTCTCATTTTACTGCATCTCTTGAACCCTGAGCAGCAATTACTCTACTTTCTATCTTTATAGATTGACCTATTCTGGATATACTGTGTAAATAGAGTCATAATATGTGGTCTTTTTTGGACTGACTTCTTTGTGTCAGTGTAATTAAAGATTCATGCATGTTGAAGCCCGTGTTCAGTACATTTCTTTTTATTTCCTACTGATATCCCTGTGTGTGGATATACATACCACATTTTATTTATCTGTTTACCAGTTGAGGTATTTGGGTTACTTATTTTTCATTGGCTTTTTTTAGAATTTTTATTTTTATTTTGTTAAAGATTTAGTTATTTATTTGAAAAAGTTACACAGAGAGAGGAGACAGAGAGAGAGAGAGAGGTCTTCCATCCGATGGTTCACTCCCCAATTGGCCGCAACAGCCGGAGCCTCGCCAATCCAAAGCCAGGAGCTTCTTCCAGGTCTCCCATGTGGGTGCAGGGACCCAAGGACTTGGGCCATCTTCTGCTTTCCCAGGCCATAGAAGAGAGCTGGATTGGAAGTGGTGCAGCCGGGTCTTAAACTGGCGCCCATATGGGATACCGGTGCTTCAGGCCAGGGCATTAACCCACTGTGCCACAGCACTGGCCCCTATTTTTGGCTTTTATGAATAATGCTGCTAAGACCTTTTGTGGATGTGTGTCTGCCTTTCTTTTGGTTAAGTACGTAGTGGAACTGCTATGTTTAATGTTCAAAGGGTTTACCAAAGTGTTTTCTAAAGAGCTGCACAATCTTACCAGCAGAGTATAAGGGTTATGATTTTGCACAGCCCAGTAGTTGTTATTATTAGTCTTTTTTATTTTAGGCATCCTAGTGAGTAAAGCGATATCTCATGATTTTGACTTAAAATTCCATGTGGCTGATTTTTTTTTTAAAGATTTATTTTATTTATTTGAAAGAGTTACAGAGAGAGGTAGAGACAGAGAGAGAGGTCTTGCATCCACTGGTTCACTCTCCAGATGGCTGCAACTGCTGGAGCTGTGCTGATCCGTAGTCAGGAGCCAGGAGCTTCTTCCAGATCTCCCACGTGGGTGCAGGGGCCCAAGGATTTGGGCCATCTTCTACTGCTATCCCAGACCATAGCACAGAGGTGGATGGAAGAGGAACTGCCGGGACTAGAACCGGCATCCATATTTGATGCCAGCGCTCCAGGCCAGGGCTATAACCCACTGCGCCACAACACCAGCCCCATCGCTGATTTTTTTTTAATATTGTGTTTAGGCTATGTTTAACAGATTGTGGATTTTACAGTATAGGCAATTTTGTAGTCTGCATTTTGCATTTAAGCATAGTTTTAGCATTAGCAAATATAATTTACAAAATTCTTCTTATTTCTATTCTCTAGTCCCCCAAAACCATGATTCTTGTGAAAACTTGCCTATATTGT